TCAATGATGTCCCCCATGATCATCTGGCTTCTCCAACAGTTTTTCAATCCCAACCGCAATGACGAAAGCCCCAACTCCGAACCAAAACCCAGGAATAAGATTGCGAATGTTTGCGTGCTTGTTAATCGCTGGATGATATCTCCACGCTTCGAATCTTGCCCAAGGATCTTTCCGAACTTTAACGTCCTTTCCAGAAGAATTCATCGCTTCAAAAGTGGAAAACAGAGCCAATTTGTGCTGCAATATTCCCCTTGGAAATGTGTTCAGAAAGTTGAGCTTAGCAGCCAAGCCTAGTCGGGACGAGTATTGCACGTCTTGCACAGTATCATGGGACTCTAGCGAAGTGCGGCTGGTAAACAACAATTTTAATAGTCGGCCTTCGAAGTTAATAAGGTTAATATCTAACTGAGAGGTAGGTAATGTAAACTCTGTTTCAATTTTCTTTCCCGCTGTATGACTATTTTTCGTTAATTTAAAGGTTTTTAACTTTGATATAGGTATCTTGAGAGCTCTATGTAATTTGCGATCGACCCGGACTGCCGTAATACGAGCCGGGCAAAATTTAATAGGCTAATATTCAACGATAGTACAGGTGTCTTTGGTGAAATCGTCAATATCAGACCGTGTAGCGTATTTCGTAAGGCGAATAAGTCGTCCGATAATTTTTGAGTCCGACTCGCCGTTTCCGAATAAAGAGGCGTGCGATCATTCCTCGCAAACGTCAAACTTCCTATTAACCGGATTTTTAGAAAGCAAAATGCAAATTAATGTAAGGTACAGAATAGCTTCACTGGTTATAATTTGCGGTTATAATATAAGCATCGTTAACCTATTCCTGTCATATCTATTGCAACTTTCTTTTCTACATAGAGTCAGAGAATGGAGATCATGTGCATGTTGGTCATGTTACGTCAGCTGTTGATATTTTTAAATGTATCGACTGGGGTTATTTTCCGGTTTATTGGGTCTTGAAGTTCAATGGTTGGCATATTTGAATAACAAAAACTGCGTTTGCGAGCATCAACAACTATGGCTGCACTCCTGAAAAACCCGCGTGAATGCGTGATTCATTTCTCATAGCCAAGGGATATACATTATCACCCACGACGCTGATGAAGAATCTTGTGAACGAAAAGGAGTACGAGTTCTTTCTCATATTTTCGTTCCCGAACTCGCACTCGTAATCGAAAAGAGCTCATTGGTTCGTAGTGAAAAAGAGGTCGTTGGTAAGCAGGCGTTAACAAAAAGCAAAAGTTGCAAAAAATTCATTACACCGTGTGGCAAGGCTTAATTACAAACTGCTGTTCAGTGGTAAAAAAAAAATTGAAAGACGATTTGATTATCATGATCTAAAGAGTTTAGTCTAGTCTACTCTTGCGTAAGCGGCCGTTGAAAGATTTAACAGTTAATGACAGCAAACTAAAAGAAAAATAAAGGAAATCTTCAAGGAATAAATAGTAAATAGAGTTTCTGTTACTAGGATGTGCTCAAACAAAAACCTATCGTACCGCAAATGAAAAATTTTTTTTCCTTCTATTTGTCATTGATCGTTTATTTTATGAATGAACTATTCTACTAAATCTATCTGACATGAAATCATTCTGGCCCAACTCATGTTTTCTCCATTAAATTAAAGAGATAGATGAATATAGTCAGCTAAAATACGTTTACCTGCTATAAAGCCTTTCAGTATTGCCCAATTTCGGGACTTGAAAATCTAGCCTGTGGTCCCAAGATTCAAGCATGAAAATTTTTCTTTTTCAGTGGACCAAACAATGGCAGATTGATGGGGTGTAAACTCTTTTGCTCCATTCTGTTAAACCAGCCAATATATTATCTAACAGATCTAATAATTTTGCAATTTTTGCTTCATCCAAAGGTTTTTCCTTACTGTGATGCTTTGCCTTGTTCATAGAAATGGGAAACCAAGGATCCACCATGGACATCAGGTAGACTCTCATTTGGATAGTTAGTAGGTTTGTTTTCATCTTCTTCTCCTCCTCTTCCTCCTCCTCCCCCTCCTTTAATCGCGTCAGGCCGCCATCTTGGAAAAATAATTAGGACAAGGGAGAAGACTGTCGACCTCTCCCTTGTAATACTTGTTTCATGGCACGCTTTTACTCTCTGTCACTTTCATCATACCAGATGGCGGCAGAGCAATCGAAGGACATGTCATCGCTTTCCCAGAAAAAAGACGCCTCGCTTTGAGTTTAATTTCGAGGTTCTACTAGTATAAGGCAGCCAAAAATCCTGTCATCATGCCCTCTTGTTTTCAGGAAAGATCAAGACACATCTTCAAATGATGATCTGGCGTCATCCTCACTCAGATCCAGTGTCCCGCAGTTCGCCTCCACGGATTATCTTTACAGTGTAGCCTCAGCGCCAGAACTGAGAACTAATCCGATAAGACCAAAAGAACTGCAAGTAAACCTGCGAAAGTATCACCGAGAGAAAGTCCGTTTGCCTGCCAGCGAGATCCAGTGGGCTAAACAACTTGTGTACAGCCATACTCAAAAACTACTGGAGTATTGTAAGCGAGAGACAGGTGTGGTCAGTGGTATGGAGTACGGGGGTACAATGTACGAGAGGCTGGAAAGCAAACGAGGTAATGAGATTGACGTAATGTTGGTGCTGAAAACGGGTTCTGAAGATGTAACGCTTCACGAGGTTGTTCCGAAATTGTACTCAAAGATAAAACTTGTTAAAGATAAGGCCGATACGAAGCTGGCAAGGCTCACTGATAAACATGGCTATTTGCAGCCAGCTAAAATGCAAGTCTGGCTTGACAGGCTAGCTCAGAAATGGACGGAGAAAACTAGGCGATCTTCGGACGGATCCAGAGTTTATACTCATAAGAATGGTCCAGCTATCGAGATCATCATCCGGGATACTAACAGAGGAGGCTCAGTAACCGCGCAGATAATTCCATGTGTAAGGTTCCCGGATGAGTCGGGAGATTATCGCCACTATGTGCCATGCGCGTTCAAAGAGTGTACGAAGTTTGAACTGGGAAATACCTCAGAGCGCTCGATTTTGTGGAGAAGAACATTCTCACTGAAAGAAAGAGAAATTGTTTCCAGTTTAGATCGTTCTGTAACGAGCACATGCCGACTGGAATGTCTAAAAATTCTCAAATTCTTTTTCAGCTCAGACAAAAAGCTGCGCAGTTTTCGTTTCTATTTGCTTAAAACGGCTTTTTTACACTACCGCACCACAGACCCAGAATGGCGCGCGGATCAACTCGCGGAGAGATTTCTCGGTATGTTGAGCTACGTTCAAGAATGTGTGAAGCGAAAAGATCTACCGCACTACTTTTTACCGAGCGTTAACCTTTTCAAAGGACTGAGTGGAACGGCTCGCGATGCTATCGACTGCCGACTGCAACAGCTGCTAACGGATGAAAAACAACTGTTTTATGCCATTTATGCTTAGCGCCCAGTCGCAGGGCTGCCACAAGTAAGAGACAAAGGAGTTTCAAACAAAATAATACTTTCAAGAGATGATCGCTCTCAGGAAGTGGCACTTAAAATAGATTCCAAAGCATGGTCGTTTATAACAGGTGGTCGCACATAGAAAGTCACCGATTTTTTGAATATTTTATAACCCTTACCAACTCAGAATGGCGTTTAGAGATTGTCCATATAGATTCGAGTCTTTTCTGTTTTCTTTGAATGCAGACAATGCGGAATATAATGTAAAAATAATACGTAAAAATTAGGATTTAAAGATTCCTCAGTTACAAATTAAAAGAGTAACAAAAGACTATGTTCCAGCTCTCTCTGCCCACTTTTTCTGTTAAGTCCACCGCCAAGCTTGGGGAGTGTTTCACCCTCACTCCCGCCGCCCCGCCTACGTTTAGGTTTGTCCAGCTCCGCAATTATTCTCCAAATAGCAGATGTCGCACTCCGAGTTATGTTCTTGCTGTTTTTGCCATGTTTTTAGCTATTATTTCGCCTAGTTCCAGCTGTAGCTCTTACTCTTGAAACGAGTGAGATGTCCGCCATTTTTTTTTACAACCAAAACATTTCAACCTTGTCCCCAGGTCTTCTCGGTAAAGGTGGCTTAACCTGTAGCGGGCTGCATTTTTGACGTCATTTCCTCGTTAAACACAAAATTCTTCCAAATTTGGTCATCAGTAACTGGTTATGGTGAATTATGCGTGTGCTTTTAGCCAATCAGAATTGGGGAATATTTTGCATGAATAATAAAGTAATCTATAATCTTTAGGATTTAGAGTCGATCTTCTATAATATGTCAAGTCCGTTCTATGTTTCAGTGTAAACTTGTTTCTAGCAAATTAGTATCCTTATATTTAAAACATGCATTTAAATAGCAAAATAAGGTCTTCCAGTGCAAAGTGCTTTTGATCACATGTAAGTCAAGCGCTGTCGAAATAATATATTGTCATTATTGTGACTCGCGTCTAGGAAAAGGAAGACCGATTATTTGTCGGTAAACAGTTAAAAAGGTTTTGAGCAGCCTGGGGATAACAAAGGGCCATGCACCTGCAAACTGGGTCAAATGTGAGGCATAATTTATGAAAATATTTAATAGCAATATTTTCTTTACTGCAAAAAACAAGTGTCGTCCATTACTAACCACACCGGGATATAACTGTAAAAAACTAGCTGAATACAAATTATCTACTGTGGCTGGTTTACGGGTCGCGGATAGGATAATATTCCATTCATTAAAAAGTCAAAAAGTGTGATACCATTTTAAAAAACAGATCGACGTTTCGGGTATATTACCCTTATTCAGTGTCAAGAAAACCGTTACTAGTACTGCAACGCAATTGTCATAGGTATAAAAATGAGGCGCGAGCGCGTGTAAATAATAGCGCGCGCACGATGTATGTTAGTTCAAATAAAGCTAAAATCGATATTTCGTCCTTTCGGTTTAACGGTTCCTAGCCGCAAGAAAATCCTCATTTTACGCTGTTTCTTTTGGATGTCGGCTCCACTGCATAGAGCTATCCCCACACCACGCACCTGGGCATCGGGAATACTGCGGCTGGTGGAGTTGAAATGTTGCCCCACAGAAAACTCAGGGGTGCTGTTGCGTATACTTCGCAAACGTTCCCTAAAACGACTCCTGAGGCTCCTTTAGTTTCAACA